GCCCTGTGACTTCAAAATCGCCGACACTGTCGGGGGGAAGATGATAAGGATATTTTAAATTCCAAAATACACGTCTAAGGATCTAATTTTTATTGTTTTAGTGCGTTTACTATGTAATATTATTATAAGTACAAAAGAACCGTTTCTCTATGTAGTTTAAGATATGTAATAAGTTGAAACAAGAGAAGGAATATATCTATCAGAGAATCACGAGTGTTGATTTTTTTAAAAAACAAAAAAACGAAAAACAAAATGAAGTTGCAGTAAAGTGAAATCGAATGAATAGCTAATGATTTATGTTGTTACTCCGAGCGACTCCCTAACGCATAATGCACCATTTGATGTATATTTGATGAATAAGAGATTCTTGAATCAAAAAAGAAAGTAACAGTCGTCCACGTTCTTTCTCATTCATCCCTTTCGTACTAGTTTCTTTGCTGACCGTTTCATTTATTCACCGATTATTCCCCTCTAAATTAATAAATTAATAAATTAATCATGACTTTGCACAGTCAAACGACTATGAGAGTTCTGTTGTCACACGACTGAAGTCTCTGGTCAATATTAATAAAAAATTTTTTGCAATATTCCAAGTAGACGTATATGCATTTTTCCATAAATGCGTAGAATTAATCGAATGTATAATCTTAGATATCAATAATCTCTCCAGAGAGATTGGTAAATCTTTTAATTAAACCGCGATCGCAGCCAATATTATTTGTTATATAATTCATATACACTGATGCAATAGAGTGAGCTGCATCGCAAATAATAATGATTTTCAATGGGGTTGCTCTAATGACTCTGCTTTTGCAGAAATTATTGGAATTGAGCAAGAGAATAAAGACAAAGAATTGAATCTATTAAAATAGAAATGAAACCTAACAACTGGTTAAAACAATCAATATCAAACAATTGACTCTAGATTAAATATTGACAAACATAATCTCAGGCGACTTCTTCGTCAAAGTACATTTTCGAAAATGCGAAAGTAGTGTTCAAACTTGTTTGCTTTGATTCAAAAATCTGCCTATCGCGAAGTATCTTCTTGCACATAAAATTTCGTACATTTTCCTACGGAAAAAATTCTAATGTATTTAATATATTTAAAATTCTCTTCATAATTATATAATTATAATTATAAAAATATAAAGTTAATTCAATCATTCAATTATAAAAGGAAAGATGAAGTTGGAAATTATTAATTATTATTTATTATTGTAACAAAATACCTTTCTCTGGATAACGCTTCCTTCTTTACAGATGACGCGTTCTTCCCGCTTAAAAATCGTGAGAAATATCGATTACGTTCGAGAATCGTAGAAAGTATGTTGCGTATTTCACCGTTAGGGCGCTGTAGTCGCGCGTTTCGCAGGAAATGTTAACTGAGAATAAAGAATATAAAAACTCTGGTCTAAATCAAATACACAAAATTCATGAGAAATTCTTAAAGAAAAACGAAAATATTCACACACAAGATGAAAAATTAACTTAAATTAAAACTTAAAACTGAGACGTGAGAGATTTTATTATATTATGGAGTAAAATTATTATATAGGCCATTAAATACGTACATTCTTAATAAATTATTGTTGAATTTAATATTAGAATTGTTAAGAATCACGCAGAATCAGGTTAAAAAATCAACAAACGAGTAGAAAATGTTACAATAGAAATAAAAGCATATTATGAATATGTAATAAAAATTTAGTCATATTACATTGTCACAATATACTGGTTAGAATTGAAATTAAATTTAGGTATAAAATTATAAATAATCTTTAGCACAGTATGTTCTATTTAAATGTTTTTTTATGCTATTATTTCTTTAATTGTTGAAAATTATATGTAAATTATATGATAATTATTTGATTAAATCTTACTTTGAGTTGAAGCCAAAAATGCAAAAATCTTAAAAATTCAAAACACAAACACAAATCTAATAACTGTTGATTTAAATTTTTACCCGAGGACTTCTGGATGATTTTTTTGGATAATACTTTCTTTTTTACGAACGAGGTGTGCTTCCTTCCGCCATTCTTCCAGTTTAGAAATCGATCGTGAGAAATATCGATATGTTTGAGAATCGTATATATTCCGATATGTTTGAGGAAGTGTATATTCCGCCTTTCACCGTTGGCGCTGTTACTAACTAATTTCAAATCCAATACGCGCGCATTTCGCACGAAATGTTAACTTGGAATAAAAAATGAAAAATTCTGATCTATATCAAATACACAGTTTGTGAGAATTTCATAAAAAAAGAAATTGTAGGACAATTTCTTTTTTTTCTCGAAAATTGTAAAAATTCAAACGTCTCACTAAAGGTTTGTGTCTGAATTATTAGGTTAAAATTAAATTTTATATTCATGTACCTCTGAACTGGTTCGAACTACATTTGAAAACTACATTTAGATTTAAAAAATCGATTTTAGATGTGAGTTGCTAATATACAGTTTTGAATTGATTAATTATTGACAATTATTATAAGTAGGTGTATGTCCCATTGTTGGATGGGAACCAATGATTGACACCGGATTTATGTTACGTTAATTACAAATTTTTAACAAAATATTAATTAATACAATTAATTTAACACAAGGAAAAATCAACAATTTAGAATTAGAATTTAAATTCCATGATATATTAATTTTTTTAATACTTATTACAATTTACAATATTTCAAGTTTTGTCGCTCATTTGTATACAGTTGTATACGCCGTGGACAAAAGTGGACTCGCATGCACATGTCGCTCATTTACAGTTGTATATGCCGTGGACAAAAGTGAGGTTATATATACAAAAAGAAACAGACTGAGGGTTAGTCTAGAGGATTAATTAGAGGAAACGAATGAAAAGAAAAGTGTCAAGAAGTTAGATAACTTTTCTTTAGGGAGTCAATTCCAATCTTTCTCGAGAAATGGATGACGAAGCTGAAACGTACAAATTGTGGCGAATAAGGAAAACAGTAATGCAACTGTGTCACGATCGAGGTTACTTGGTTACCCAAGACGAACTGGATCAAACTTTGGAACAGTTCAAGGAACAATTCGGGGACAAACCGAGTGAAAAGAGACCAGCTCGCAGCGATCTCATAGTTTTAGTTGCCCATAATGACGATCCAACAGATCAGCTTTTCGTATTCTTTCCAGACGAACCAAAGATTGGAATTAAAACCATTAAAACGTACTGTCAGCGTATGCAAGAAGAGAAAATCCATAGGTAATTTGTCATAATAAGTAAATATGTACTTGTAATACTTACGTTATAACTGGAGCATGATAAAATTTCTGAACTTCTGTTTTGTTTCTTGACAGAGCTATCATTGTTGTACAACAAGGAATGACGCCATCAGCTAAACAGTCATTGGTGGATATGGCGCCAAAATACATATTAGAACAATTTTTAGAATCGGAATTGCTTATTAATATCACAGAACACGAGTTGGTACCTGAGCACATTGTGCTCACACCAGACGAGAAGGAAGAATTACTCACCAGATATAAACTAAAAGAGAATCAATTAATGCGTATACAGGCTGGTGACCCTGTGGCTCGTTACTTTGGTTTGAAACGTGGACAAGTTGTAAAAATTATTAGGCCTTCCGAGACTGCTGGTAGATATATTTCATATAGACTTGTGTGTTGATTCAGTGCATTTTTACATTAATGGACAATTTCTATCACAAATTGTGTTGCGCGTTAATTTAAAGATAAGTTAGGCTACATAATTTTTATAATGATTGTTATGTAAAATAAAAAGAAAATGTAAAATACCGTTATAGTTTAAAAATAAAAGTCCATATCTTTCATTCGACATTTTATTATACTGTAGTTGTATTTTGTAATTACATGGTGGGCGGTTAAGTACTAGCTATACATCAGGCAGTTAATAATTAGCATTATCCTTGCAACAAATACATTTTCTTCATAATATGAATTCATTCTGTTAATCGTGAAAATAAGTGTAAACAGTGTAAGTTTGAACAATAACGAATAAAATCAAGATTAGCGAAATAAACTTTGTTCAAACATATATTTTATTACATTTTATTATTATACATTTCTTGGTCCAGATGTATCGTGGTATACCGTTGTCATAAGACAACTCAATTCCAATTCATTTAAGCAATTGTACATGTAGTTTCAAAGCAATATTCCTAATAACTATATTTGCATATTGCTTTATTTGTTTATCGTCTTAAAGACTTTATTTTGATATTTAATATGTAATAATTAAGAGAATAAATATAAATTATGTAATTGTATGAATAAAAAAGTAATTGTAATAAAAGAAAAATAAATTGTGCATAACAAATTTTTGTAACGATAAATTCTTCTTAAGTACAAAAGGCAAGTGAATCTCTATGCTACATATTTATAATCTATGCTACTGATTTTAAAGAGTTTTTGACAAGATTCAACTATACTATATTTATACTCTCAGTAACATTAACCACAAAGTTAGAATAAATACATAAACTTGCACATTAAACATTTTAAACTTAAGTAATTAATCGCTATGTTCCATGTTTAAACTTTATAAAGGTGAACACTAGTATATTATTTGCATTCTTTTTCAATTTTATCAATGTAAAAGTTACTTTTTCAGAAATTATACAAAATAATAAAGAAATTACTAATAATGTAAAAGACTTCTCTTATTGATGGTACAAAATTAACGAGAATCATTTCTCGTGAATCTTTTTTTTCATATAGCAGAAGAAAAAAATTTGTTCTTTTTAATATCTGCTATCTCTTTCCTCCTATTTTGAATACAGTGCATGCATAAGCATATAAGATTACTTATTTATATGGTATTTTGCAAAGCAGTTACGCCAGCTAAAATATCTCTTTCCTAATATATAAAATAATCTTAAAAAATAACGATGATAGATGGGCATAAGTAAATAATGCATGCAAGAGTAATTAATATAATATATTGTTATCAATAAAATGTAAACATAACGAATAATAATAATTACACAATAAGACTACATATCTTTATTGTTTACACGAAAATAAGAAAGCAAGATTGTCGAAATAATTAGATAAAAAGAAGTATTTAAAAAATATGGACTTCCGTTCTTTTAAAAATTAATAGGTTTTGAAACAAAAACGTTATACATACCATTCGTTCAGAAGTGAAGACTGGTCAATTTTACATTGTTTTACATATCGCTTTTTGGCATGTCAGAGAAAATGCATTTTACGAAACATAAATTCGCATTACAAAGACGGTAAACGAGGAACAAAACAATTCTCTCATGCAAAATTTATACATTTATTCTATTCCTCTACGTTCCTTCGATTATTGTTACTCCTTAAATTACAAAGAATAAATCAGTCGTTGTGTCCGAGTTTCAGCGTGAATATGTATGTACGACGTTTGTGTAAAAAAACTTGTATTCCCGTTCGCTTTTCTTCGTGATAAAATCTCCAAAAGAGAAAATACAATGTTTCAAGAAACTATATTTCGTAAAAATAAAATTTTCCAATAACTTGCGTATCATTGGAAAAAATCAGAAGACGGAACAGCATACATAAACTGCTATTCCTTTGCTAATACTTAAAAACGATTTACCTCAGGAGATGCAAGAATGATTATTCCACATACAGTCTGAATAGTACAAGTCTATATATGATACATAGCAAGTATATCTGATGTCATAATATCAGATGTATCTTAACCGTTGGAAGAATACTCTCTTCCTCAAATATTTGTAAAAATATTCACAACATAGAGGCAGAATGGTGTGCATTTTATGCCAAAAGGCGACGCATTTTAATGCTACATCTATATAAAGTTCTTGTATCTCGTATATGGATAGCTTACTAGGCTCTTTGTCACCAAGGTCCCCATTCTTCGAACAACAAATTCGTATTTAAAAATACAGTGTTTATACCAGTCCGCTCATAAACCTGTCCTTCAAAACAATACGTGTTTTTCCTCGTAATACGACCAATATCTGTCGTTACTGATGTACACAGTTATTATATGCTTTCATACGCATACTCCATCGATGAACTACCAAGATGTAGGAAACTCCCTTCAACATTTCATTCGTCGTAATTTAAAAATTTTCAGATTTATAAAAATGAAAATTTGGCATAATCGAACACAGTGCCTATTGTATAACATGCATGCCTGTCGAAAACGTTGGATAATTTTATCAGTCCCAATGAAAAATGTTTCTTAGAGATCCAATAACAACAAACAAAAACATGCCACTTTGTCATGTGTTATATCAGGAACTCTACATTTGTTTATATAAATTAGTAAACGCAAAGAACGTTTTTCAATGACACCAATAAAAAGTACACGTAATAATATCGAGTCCATTCAAACAACTCTACGTCTAGACCACCAATACATCCTGGTAGCCCATTCGATAGGTGGAGTTTGTAAAATGTTGTTAATTAGTTCTGCAGTAAGTCTGATCCTGTACGTGATAGTGGTGGGATAATGCGGCCGATGCCTTTGGCCTCTGTGTGCACAACATGAGGCCTAAAATAAATGATTTCTTTTCTTATAAAACTTGGAAAAGATAGTAAAAATAAATATTATCAAAAATATAAACGATATTTACCTAGGAGTGATATGGAGTAACGTACGTAGAAGGAAATAGGCCTCGTCTATTACCAATTTCTCCATGCCACCAGTGTTGATCTGTACGATCAGTAACGGTTATTACATCACCTCGTTTGAATTCAAGTTCACCAGGTTCTTGAGGTTGAAAATCGTATAACGCTTGAACTAAACACTGAAACAATATGCATTCTTATATATCATAAAACCAACATCTCTGTGTTACTTAATAGCTTGACGGTTATGCAAGAGGTAATTACTTCTTCTGGCACCATATCCCTCAATTTAACGTCTTGTGAACGGGATACAGACGCTGTACGATGGTATTCCACTAATTCGTTAAGACTGTTAAACTTGACCACCCAGAGAAAGAATTTACCTTGAGCATCTCTTAATACTTTGAAGTGTTGAACACCATCTGAACATCTATAAAAAAAAACAAATTATAAGTTTAACAATAATTATTATTTATTCAAATAATTGGTTCAAAGCATCACAACAATTATTCAACATCTTGCTTAAGAAGTTCTTACTAACTTTACAGACAAAGAGAAATCACCAGGGGAACTTTCACTGATTCTAATAAGAAAGGCGCCTTCGTGTTTGTTCATTAGTAATCTTTCTGCATCTGCTCTGGTTATCCTTCCATAGTACCAGCTAAATAAAACAAATCAAATTAGACAAAGTATTAGATTTCTTCAAGAAATGAATACTTGGTACAAAAAAAGCATATAAGGGCACCTACTCATGATTTTTCATCTCTATGTAATTACTTGGAATGAGTCCTTCTCTGGAGTCTAGTTCAGCCCTGTACCAATTCATATCATCCTCCATGTTTAAAATCTGCAAAAAAAAAAAACATTACATGCCTGATTTATTACATTTGTTATTTATTATATGAAATATCTTTGCATACAAGAATTGAAAAATATAATTACAACATATTTATTTCAATCTTCAATTTTAAGGAAAATCAAAATCATGATCACTGTTAACATTTAATTAAATTTGATTGAAACCTTGAACGTAAATGAACGAACAATCACAAAATCATTTTGTTTTTGTTGTAGAAAAGAATTGTAAGTAAAAGAAAAATTACATTACGAAAATGAAGGTGAAGACAAGATAAAGAAACAAATTCCAAATGACTTTCAATATGAATCATCAAGCAAACAGGAAGGACAAACAAATTTATTATTATCAGAAGAATATAAACCCATCATGCATGTTTCTAAACAAGCATGTAAAAAAGACTTAGTCTCAAATGTCTTGTCAAACATACTGAGCAATTAATAATAATAGAGCTAATAAAGAAAAGACCAAACAAAGAAAAAACGAGACAATAGCAATTATTGATTGATTCATTGATCAAAATGATCAATTCTAAGTGTTTCATAGAAATAGCAGTTATTGACTGACTGATCAAAATAACCAGTTCTAAAAGTTTCATAGAAATTTCATAAATTGACAATGTTGCGGTCTTGGCGAGAGAAGATTTGAACATACATGGACAAGATTTTTATACTTCGATCGTCAGTATCGAACTGTTGCAAATATCTTCATAAAGATAAAACATTGCATAACAGATAAAATATCTCTGTTGTTTTTTTTTTGGAGGGAGGGGGGAGAGTTAATAGGAAAAAGAAACCAAAGAAATTAACGTTGTCAACGTATAAGCATGATTCGTCGTAAATGTTTTGCAAGCGACACGCTAACTCCGATCGAAACGAAAGCAGTTCAGAAAGTTCGGGATCGGTAAGCAACTCTCTAACAAAGATCAACAATACGAGGCTATCGCCTGGCGTTCTCGTCAACTCGGTAGTTGCCAAACTATCCGCGACAGAGGATACGAACCTTCAGGATCTGGCTTCTACGAAAACTAAGTTCGTCCTCGGCGGTCGCCGTGAAATCGTGCTTCGCTATCGCCTCCATTCTTCTTCCTCGTTCCTCGGCAGTGAGAACGAAAGAGAGAGAAAAAGAGAGGCAGCGCTATATCTAGCTCTCGAAGGTAACACCAAAATCAATCTTCTTCAGTCTGTTAACCAGGGGAGAGACAAGGAAAAGATCGAAGAACGGATAAGTTCGACGTCTCGTTGCGAATTTCCCTCCTCCTATCGCGGAGAGACGGATTCGCTACGTTACGGTTGCACTCCGTCCGTCGAAAGACACGTAATGCTCACGATACAACGCGCGCACACACACACCGACCGCCACTTGTGCTTTTTTTCTGTCCGAGCGATTTTTCGAATCGGTCCCTCGGTTAAACCACCTCGGATCGATGCCACGTCGAGCCGTACATATCACCACGCAGTTGCGATGGTTTTCACGCGTGCCAGCCGCAGTTTCAGTCACCACTGCCGTTCAACTGTCAAAACCGAAAATACGAGCATCCACACTCACGGCTGTCCATCGCTCGTCTTATCAGACATTACACTCGACTCTCCCACTGGATCTCTAGCTCTGCTGTGTCTCGGTCCAACAATGCGCACTGACCACTGCGCACTCTGACGTCCGAATCCCAATCCGTGCAAATATACGAATATCTGGACGCAAGTTTATCCGAATGTCGATCGAACAATCACGAGTCAGCGACTCGAGTTAAACGACCTGGCGGTGTCACAATCGCCGCGAGACTCTGTATGCCATAGAAAGACGTACGCACGATTTTCTGAAACGAGCTGGCCAGCGTACTACTTTCCCGTGGCGCAGGCGCGCGCATGCGCACCACCGCGATGCTGCGTCGACTGCTCCGCCGCCATTTTACACTTTTACAAGTGTACCTACTCTGGAGCACGTACGCGTGTACCTACGCCGCGTGACTTTGCAAAGGTGTTTGCATTTTACGCATCGTTTTCGACTGTTTCTAATCAAACGATATATTCTTTTACCTCCTTGGTCTTCAATGGAAACTATGCTAGACGATTTCAGCCAATGACAGGACAATGAAAGCGAGTAATTGGAACTCGAAGAAGGTTAATACGCGATAGATCGATTTGACATGTTTTTCAATAATGATATATACGTTACAGGATGCACTTCCGGTTTTTAATACAGTTGAGATTTTTCAGAAACGGTACGATTTTTTCACGGATATTGTTTGATCAATCGGTGATTTGTTTTATCTCTTTGATCTTCGATGGTAACTATCGATATTAGACGATGATCACAATCAGTCAACGATAGGACAATGAAAACGAGTAATTGGAACTCGAAGAGGGTTAATACGCGATAGATCGATTTGACATGTTTTTGAACAATGATATGTACGTTAGAGAACCCACTTCCGTTTTTAATACGGTTTGAGATCTTTCAGAGGTGGTACGAATATTGTTTGAAGAACAGAAACGAACACTTACACAAGTAATACTGCGCATTTTCCATTTTCTGTCATTTCCTGCTCTACGGAGTAAATTACGATTGAGTGATGGACATGAAGCATCTAATAATCGCTGAATGAAACCCGTATTTTTCGCGCAATCAGTGAACCTATTATACCGTGCTCGTGCCATGTTTCAAAAGTAGCAAGAAAAGGTAAAACTCGATTCTAGTATTCAAATTATTGTTATTAATTACTTCATTCTTTCGGTGGTTAAAAATTATTCGTACTTTCAAACCGAAATTAATAAATAACTGAATGTTCACCTATATATATAAGAAAAAGTAGAAAAGATAATCTTGTTAACGTGGTTCAAACAGTTGTATATACAATTGTTATTCGTTGGAAATGGAGCATCGGTCGTGCAATGAATAAAGATTTCGCGGCGTGATCGTTATTATCGAACGGTCACGTGAATTATAAACAATTGTACAGTGAAAGCAGGCTAGATCTATTTCTGGCCAGTGTTAAAAATTTCTTTATTTTTATAGATTACACGTACAAATAGAGAGATCAGATTACGTTGCACGGAGAAGTATTATTGAGTATTATTTTTGAGGAGGAATCCGTGAGAAAAAACCGAAAATTACCATTCGACTCCATGGAGAGTATGTATATATTTTCGTTTTCATCCTGTCTATTTCAATCAACCGTTTCAAGCAACGGATCAATGCATCCAACTATTGTTAGCTTTGCAGAGTGCGCAAAGTGCGTTTACTTTTGAAAGGATGTAAACCACCATAGCCACGAAGACCATTCGGTCAGTTCGACGATTTATTGGAATAGAAGTGATTAATGCGAGGAACAATTTAATTTAAATTAACTATAGTGATCAATAATTCGTCGCTATATATAGGTATTATTAAGTGGTTTAATAAAGCGCGCGTGGAAGAAATGTTATGGAAGGTCTCTGCCGCAGATCGTTTCTCACCGCCTTCGTCTCTTTTCTAAACGAGACCTTAAAATAAAATTCGATCGAAAGAACCATGCATGAGTCGCGAAGATTTCAGAATCGTTTTCAAAAAATTACGAAACCACGAAAAAAGATTTAGCAACATATATATATATATATATATA